TTTGCTTGAGCTACCCTTTGACCATTTATAATAAGAATTTTGTGATGGACTTGGTTTGTCTACCTTTACATCAAATTGATATTATGCTTGGAATGAACTGGTTGGAGTTCAACTATGTTCATATTGATTGCTACAACAAGACTATGAGGTTCCCAGAGTTTGGTGATTGTGGAGAGCTGACGTTTGTATATGCTAAGCAAGTAGAAGTACTCTTAGAAGATGAGGCTCAGGTGTTTTCAATGTTTTCATCATTACAAGTCGACAGCAAGGCTGCAAGTGTTGATTTACCTGTTGTGTTCAACTTCCCAGATGTATTTCCTGATGATATCAGTGACTTGCCACCAGAGCGCGAGATTGAGTTTTCCATTGATGTGATATCGGGCACTAGTCCTGTATTGATGGATCCTTATCGGATGTCTGCATCTGATTTGGGAGAATTGAAGAAACAATTGGAAGAGTTGCTTGAGAAGAAGTTTATTCGACCGAGTGTTTCTCTGTGGGGTGCTCATGTGTTGTTGGTGAGGAAGAAAGATGGTAGCATGAGATTGTTATGGATTATAGATAGTTGAATAAAGTGATAATCAAGAATAGGTATCCACTTCCGAGGATTGATGATCTGATGGATCAATTGGTGGGAATTTGTGTGTTTGTTAAGATTGATTTGAGGTCTGGTTATCATCAGATTCGCATTAAGCCTGATGATATTCCGAAAACAGCTTTTAGGACGAGGTATGGACACTATGAATATACAGTAATGCCGTTTGGTGTATCTAATGCACCTGGTGTATTCATGGAGTATATGAATAGGATTTTTCATCCTTATTTGGATCAATTTGTGGTAGTATTCATCGATGATATCTTGATATATTTGAAGTCTGAGGAAGAATATGCGCAACATCTAAGAGTTGTATTGCAGGTTTTAAGGGACAAGAAGCTTTATGCTAAGTTGTCCAAGTGTGAGTTTTGGTTGAAGGAAGTGAGTTTCCTTGGCCATGTGATTTTTAGTGGAGGGATTGTTGTTGATCCATCCAAAGTTGATGTTGTGTTGCAGTGGGACACTCTGAAGTCTGCTACTGAGATTCGAAGCTTCCTTGGCTTACATGGTTATTATCGTAGGTTTATAGAAGGCTTTTTGAATTTGGCGTTGCCATTGACTCAGTTGACTCGAAAGGGTCAAGTTTATGTGTGGGATGTTGCATGTGAGAGGAGTTTTGTAGAACTCAAGAAGAAGTTTACGACTGCTTCAGTACTGATCTTGCCAAATATGATTGAGTCTTTTGTGCTATATTGTGATGCGTCGAAAATGGGTATTGGTGGTGTGCTGATGCAGAATGGTCAGGTTGTTGCTTATGCTTCTAGACAACTGAAGGTTCATGAAAGGAATTATTCTACGCATGACTTAGAGTTGGCCGTTGTGGTGTTCGTGTTGAAAGTTTGGAGACATTATCTTTTTGGGTCTAGGTTCGAAGTGTTCAGTGATCACAAGAGCCTGAAGTATTTGTTTGATCAGAAAGAGTTGAATATGAGGCAGAGGAGATGGCTTGAACTTCTGAAGGATTATAATTTTGAATTGAGTTACCACCCTGGTAAGGCTAATGTTGTAGCTGATGCATTAAGTAGGAAGTCCTTGCATATGTCGATGCTTATGGTTTGAGAGTTAGGACTGATTGAATAATTCAGAGATATGAGTCTAGTGTGTGAAGAGACTCCTAACAGTGTGAAGTTGGGTATGCTAAAGTTGACTAGTGGTATTCTCTAAGAAATCTGAGAAGGTCAAAAATATGATTTGAGTTTGGTGGATCGTCTCACGTTAATCAACCAAGGTAACGGGGGTGATTTTCGGGTCGATGAGAATGGTGTGATGAGGTTCAAAGATAGGTGTGTGTTCTAGATGTGCCAGAAATTAAGATGAGCATTCTTGAGGAGGGTCACAGAAGTGGGTTAAGTATTCATCCGGGTGCCACAAAAATGTATCAAGACTTGAAGAAATTGTTTTGGTGGCCATGGATGAAGAAAGAAATTGCAGAGTTTGTGTATGCTTGTTTGACTTGTCAGAATCGAAGATTGAACATCAAATACCGCTGGGTCTGATGCAACCGTTGAATATTCCATAGTGGAAATGGGATAGTATTTCTATGGATTTTGTGACAGGTCTACCGAGGCCTTTGAAGGGATGTGATTCAATTTGGGTGATTGTTGATAGATTGACCAAATTGTCTCATTTGATACTGATGAGGATCAATTATTCGTTGCAGAAGCTGACCGAATTGTATATTGATGAGATCGTGAAACTGCATGGTATTCCTTTAAGTATTGTGTATGATAGAGATCCGAGATTCACATCGAGGTTCTGGGAGAGTTTGCAAACAGCTTTGGGTACTAAGCTGAGGTTGAGTTATGCATATCATCCGCAGACGAATGGACAGACAGAGAGAACTATCCAGTCTTTAGAGGATTTGTTGAGAGCTTGTGTATTGGATCAAGGTGGATCATGGGATAGTCATTTTCCGTTGATTGAGTTTACCTACAACAACAGTTACCATCCTAGCATCAAAATGGCACCGTATGAGGCATTGTATGGTAGGACTCCTTTGTGTTGGTATGAGTCAGACGAGAGTGTTATGCTCGGATCTGAGATTGTGCAAGAGACGACTAAAAAGATCAAGATGATCTGAGAAAAGATGAAAGCGTCGCAGAGTTGTCAGAAAATTTATCACGACAAGAGGAGGAAAGAACTTGAGTTCTAGGAGGGAGATCACGTATTTTTGAGAGCTACGCTGGTAACTCGTGTTGGCCGAGCTTTGAAGTCTCGAAAGCTCACACTGCTTTTTTTTGTCTGTATTAGATTTCGCAGAGGGTGGGAGAAGTAGCATATCGTATTTCTTTACCACCGTCGCTTGCGAATTTGCATGATGTGTTTCATGTGTCTCAATTGAGGAAGTACATTCTAGATCTGTCACATGTGATTCAGATGGATGATGTACAAGTGACTTGACTGTTGAGGCATTGCCAGTATGAATTGATGAACGAGAAGTGAAGCAGTTGCGAAGTAAAGAGATTTCCATGGTAAAGATAGTTTGGGGAGGACTAGCTGGAGGGAGCATGACTTGGGAGCGTGAGGGTCAGATGAGGGGGTCCTATCCGACTCTGTTTCCTTGAAGTAATTTTCGAGGGCAAAAATTCTTTTAAGTGGGGGAGAGTTGTAACACCCCAAATTTATTGAAATATTTATTTAATTTTTTTAAATATGAATATTCGTATTTTTGGTGATTTTCGGTGGTTAGTGTGAATATTGGAAATTATGGAGTTTTTAGTGATTTATTTAAATAATAGTATATAATGTGAATATATTTTGTATTATTATTAATTTAAATAAATATAAGTTAATGTAGGGCAAAGTGGACTTTTGAGGAGGAGTTAGTAAGGGTGAAATTGGAAAGCCCATTTTAAGGCCCAAAATTAGGTTTAACAAAAAGGAATTTTGAGGGAAATAGGATTCATTCTTGTTAGACCGTGAAAAGAGAAGAAATAGAGGCCAGAGCTCTGAGGGGAGAGGATAGAGGCAAGGCTTCGTGAGGTTTTCCAAAAATCAAGGAGAAAGGCTTAGAGTCGGCAATTAAGGTATCGGGAGTATTACCTTCATTGTTTTCAATATATGATTCAATGTATTTAAAGCCGATTTAAGGATTTAGGAGGTTTTTGAGCAAGGGAAATTAGGCCTTCGGAGCCAAATCATCTTTTGAGGTTGTTTAAGTATGGGGAGTATTATCTTCATTGTTTTCAATATATGATTCAATGTATTTAAAGCCGATTTAAGGATTTAAGAGGTTTTGAGTATGAGGAAATAGGCCTTCGTGGCCAAATCTGTTTTTGAGGTTGTTTAACCCTGTAAGGTAAGTGATTGTGAGAACTATGATGACCTTGGGGTATTTGTAAGAATTTATGAGAATAATACATGACTATATAACGAATTTCCATGAGTAATTATGATGATTTATGATGCTGATTTCATGAGGCTTTGGTGATTTTATGATGACATGATTACTATGATGATTTTGATGAATGATGATGTACCTAATAAGTTTATTATAAGGATGATATTGACGTGTGTATCATGCATTCATATGCATTCCGGACTTCGGTCTAGTGTTTGATTCTTGTGGCTTCAGTCCCATTGGGCGGATGTGAAGTATTTTGTTATGCTCAGATTCTTGTGTAGAAACGATCCTATTGATGGAGATCTATGGAGGGTTGATAGCCCAGTGTCCATCGAACTTTGATGAATTGGTACCACATGCATAAGTCTTGTTGCATTTGCATTTATGTGATAATTTGGTGTAATTTATGATATTATGGCTTTTTGATGTTTCCTTGATGATTATGATGATGTTAAATACAAAAATGACGCTATTTTATATATTGATTCCTATATTGATTATTATGAATCGTTTTACTCACCCTGCTTGTTTGAATTTTGCCTCCACGTGGGTAACGTGCAGATAACCAAGTTTAGTCGTGGATGCCGTCGAGGACTTTTTGGACTTTTTGACTTTTGGTCGACTTAGAGGGTCTTGCTCTGATAGTGTAACATCGGGTTGAGGTCTTTGAGTTAAACCATGTTTTATTGATTATTATTATTATTTTGATTATGTTGCTACGCAAGGAAAACTTTGGATTTTGCCATTTTGAGTTCCGCTGCCTTTTGAGCAATTTTTGAGTAATTTTGGGAATATCCGTTGTTTATGGAGCATTGACTTTTATTTTAGTTATTGAGAAATGTACGCCCTTTGAGGTGATTTTTACTGTGTTTAATATTTTACTCCGATAAATGTGATTGATTTGCCATTATATTTGTGGGGTAGAAAAGGGTGTTACAAAGTTGCCCACAAATGTTTACGTGCCCAGTTAGTTCGAAACCACCATGGAAACAAAACTGCCTTACAATAACTACACCTCCATCTTCATTAGTTTTTGCTCCTTTTCCTTTGACTATCTTGCTCTCAATCAAACTTCACAGTTTTATCACCTTGTTGATGCTTCAATGGTTCAACGGGGAAGTATTTTATGCCAACTAGATTGCCTACATTGCTAATAACCTTCAAGGCATGTGTAAGATCTTCCCTTGTATGTGAAGCTGATATGCATATGCATGCTCTAACCAGTAGCAATTGGGTTGCTGGAAATGCAACAGTCACAATAACAATGTGCTGCCTGAGGCACTCCCTTGAGAAAGTAGGGATTTTGGCTAGGTTGTAAAGCATGATTGCTATTCTCTCGAATTTGGGCAAGCTTCTAGGCACCTCGAATTGAACCATCCTCTACAATAATAACTTTTATGGACGATATTATTTGGATGATGGAATAAAATAGAACTTGAACTTGAATCATGAATTTGGAATTGAGATTGAAATTAGATTGATGTAAATTGGATTGAAAATTGAATCTTGGAGAGAAATGTAATTTGAACTTTGGAATTTTGAATCTTTGAATAAAATTTTCAATTTAGACTAAACCATGAATTAATCCCAAGAGTGAGACACCAGAACTACATCGAAACCTTGAATCAATTTCACCATATCTTGATTCTATCTTGAAAAATTATTGACTTTGATAGTTGTGGCAACTACGAAAAAGGGCCGGCAGAAACAAACAGAAGATTCGTCACCGAACGTTATTTATCCCAAAGAGAGGGAAAGGTAACAATCGAAGAAAACCTAAAAGAACGGGAAAAGACGAGGTCATCACAACCAAATCTTGGGTTCGGGAGTCGGTTACGCAAGGGGAAGGTATGAGCACCCGTTACGTCCATTGTACTCAATGGGATCCATGCTTGTTGTCTATAAAAGGGGTAAGTTATCTAAAAGCTACTGCTAAACCGGGAAAAAGAAAAGAAAATAAAAGAATCGGTAGGACATTGCCGCCCTATGCCTACGTATTCCCTAGTGCAATGGAAAAGTCAGAGTCAATGTAGTTCGGGAAACTACAAGTGATGGGGAGAAGGTTGCTCGCCCAGACATCACCGTCTTGTGCCTATGTATCCTCATCTGGCATGAGAGACCAGAGCAAACTTAGTTCAGGCAAAAGAACCACAGGTTGGTTAAGTGTTTTTTTATGAGCGGCGCTAAGTTTTCATTCCAGCAGTTAGGGACGACGCCTGTTTGCGGTAGAACGGAAAAGTAGCGTACTCTTTTCTGAAAATGATTTGAAGAACAATCCCGAAGGATGAAAAGATTTGAATTTTGTTTGTTGGTTTTAAAGAAATAGATTGGGTTAGTTTGATACTCACGTTGCACTAAAGACTATGACATAAGAGTGAATGTGTCGCATATCACCCAAAGGGCATACACTTAAGTCCACCTCAAGTCCAAAACACATCCAAAAATGTTCAGACAAACACCAAAGGCAAAGCAAACCACATAATTCCCAATCAAATGAACCAAACAAGAAGCAAAGCATCAAGCAATCAAATGAATCAAGAGACAAGGTGGGGCAACAATAAAACAAGGTCGAAAGGTATACATCCAATCATGAGTGCATAAGAGGGATCACTTAAGTTTGACAATCAAAGTTAAACTTCAAAGTGAATCAACTATCATCAACAACCACAAATGAAAGAACCAAAGCAAACATAAAAGACCCAAATGGAATGAGGATAGGTTAAGAGAATCACCTCATGATGGATCAAAATCATTTGTTTACTCAAAAAAACAAATAAATCCAAAAATAAGACAAATAAAAAAGGATGAAAAACCCTAAAAAGAGAAAAAGGAGACTAATCAGTGCATATTTATGCACCTTCCTCTATGTTTAGACTTAAGCATTTTTATAGTTTGGTGTGTTTATTTTGCTATTTTATAATGTTTTTACAATTCAATTTATTTTCAGCCTTATTTGATTTTCGTTTGTTATTTTCAGCATTAGCAGCTTTTAATAAAAAAATTCATAACTTGAGCTACAAGAATCGAATCGAGGCATCCTACCAGTCGTTGGAAAGCTAAGAAAAAGATCTACAACTTTCATGTTGCACGAAGAAGCTGATTCGGATTGTTTGAGTCTTGAATAATTCGTTGAAGTTTATGACTGTAATAATTTAGTTGTTTTTCCCTATTGGGTCTGGTTTATGTTTCCGACCCAGTTGAGTGTGTAATGCAAACCTTATTTTGTTTATAAGGTTTGCTTATGTACTACAGCATTCTACCCTAGTTTTTCCGAAATTTCTTTTGCTTTTCATGTATTCCATGGCGAACTAATGCCGAGGGAAAATCTGTCGGTTTCGAATTCCGTAATCCTTTGAGGTTTTACTATAATTCCAATTTAATTCAATTCCTTTTCAATTCGTTTTATAATAATCGTTTGCTTAATTTGTTTCTTATAGAATAGATTGGATTCAATTCGATTAATCTATGTTCCTTACCGTAATCGCCGATTAACTTAGTTTTTCGTTAATTTGCGCCATCTTTAATCGTCTGCTTAATTCGGCAATTAGAAATATAAGTCGTGCGGTCTTGTCGACGCTTGTTCATCAATATTGCAATCGAATGGGGAATGTAACCGCTTGGGAAATTAGAATTGTAATGACCGATGATAATTTGGGAGTCGAACCGGTAAATTAACCTGTTTTAATCACTTATTTTAAAAATCACTTATTTTACCGTTTATTTTCTTAATTGAAATATGAATCAAAACAACCCCCCTTATAATCGTTTTCAATTGGTTATTTCATCAACAAGAATCTGTTGCGGTGAAAATCGGATATCAAGCTATTGAATTAACTTGAATCTTAATTCTTTTACAACCGGACTTTAATTTATCCAAAGGAAAGGTCTAAAGAAAGAAAAACCCTTTTCGCGATGTAACAACAACGCTAGGTTATGCATAGGGTAGGTATTTCACATCCTAAACATCTGTAGTACTCTACGGGAACCTTTTGTTTGTTTGCATGCTAGGTTTGGTAAATATTTGCTAAGGTTGGGATTGGGTAAAGAGATAGGGTATGATAGATGAAGACCTAAGATTGTTTCTAAGTTTGCTCGCAAAGACATCGCGTCTTCTGCCTACGTATCCTAACTAGGATAGAATTAGAGCAATCGTAGTTCACCTCACTAGGGTTGAAGAACACTTGATTATGATCAAGGTTCTAAGGGGAACAAACATAACAATGTTTGTGTAGAGTTTTAGCAAAAAACTCTCTAGATCTATGTTGAACTCTCACAGGGGAATAAGTAATCATCACTATGATTCTTATATAGAGTTAACAAACTTTGACCTAGGGTTCTAGTTGAAGAACACTCCTAGTAAGGGCGGGCCTTTTAGACTTAAGCAAAGTCTAATGGCTTATGGGTCCTAATCTTAACTAAGGTTTAAGATGACTTTTCAAAGTCAAGAGGGGTAATGAGCTATCCATGACACAAAGGTCAATGGAAAGACTTTCCTTTGGAAGGGAGGAGATGAGGCAACTTGGATGAGAACTAAAAAGTTCCATCACTTGGGGAAGAAAATACTTAACAAAGTATAAACATATTCAAGCATGAGGAATATAGAAGACAATGATTATGATCAAGGATTAACCAACACATTACAATGAGCAAGTATTTTGAGTAGGACGAATGGTTACAACCAAGTATGGTAAACATATTACAATAAGCATGTCTTGACAAAGATGTAGGCATATGTTGACAAAGATTGAGAATATGATAAAGATTGAAAGTATGATGAAGGTAACAACCATGTAAACAAATAACAATTTTGAAAGTAATCAGGTTATGAACTCAAGATGTAACAACAATATGCATAGATAACAATACCACACAATTAAATTAGTTTAACCTCATAATTTAGGAGGTATAAATATTCATGGTAACAACTAATAAAAGATGAAATCTCAACATGTTGACGAACATAAACAAATACCAATAAATCTTACAAGAAAAATAAACATGGCATGAGGGGAATTTAAATCGAGACGTAAGGTGACGACCTAAGAGTGGATCTACTAACAAGCAAACAAAAGCATTGTTAAAATAAATAATCATGAGATTTCAATCCACCAAACAAAACTAGACATCACAATGAAGAGTTTGCGAAAAGAATGAGTTAAAAAAAGATGAAAGATGAACAAGTTATGAATATTTGAAGTTGAGGTGATTTATGACAAATAAAATCAAATAAACAAAAATAATAAAAAGGAGAAATGGCCAAGCTGGGAGTTGAACTCAGGCCCTTATGTTTACAAACATATACAACAACCACTAGAGCACTATGCGCGTGCTTCTATGGAAAGGAAAAGAATGAATAAAAAAATAAATATGAGAAAAGAAAAATCATTGAAGCAAAAATGCCTCGCTGGGGCTCGAACCCAGGACACAAGGCATGATGGGCATTTTAATGGCAAGGCAATAACCATTGGGGTGGCGATACATCCATTGATTATCCCACCCCAAAAAGTATATGTAGTATACCTCTTTCACAAACTGGGCAAACAAGAGAGCCAAAACAAAGGATTTGCAAAACCACATGTATCTTTCTCATTTCTCCATGGATTGAGATAAAATTTATATGTAGATTCATCAGAAAATTATGAGGAGTATGATAATGCAATCAGAATTCACAATATATGCCTCCACTTTGAAAACCGATTGATGATGCATATGATACATTTAAATGCAAATCTAAACTAACAGTCCAAGACAGTTACAATTGGCAGTGGGAAATGGTTTAAGCAAGACATGAACATGATATGGAAAGTGTCCTAACAGGTGGTATTATCAAAAACAACAAAATCAAGAGTTTGACATGTGAGTTGCAACTAGTGGTGAGAATGATGTGAAAATGCATTTCTGAATTTCAAAGACCATAAACAAATGTATTTACATCAACCAAGCATCTGAGCATGACACAAATATGGTATTCAATAAGTTCTAACAAGAGTTTCATTAAAATCATCACTGATTCAAAAAGAGGTATATGAATTGCCAAGTATGTGTGAAATGCACTTAAGGAGCAAAGAACTAAAACAGTCATGCTATGGTTAGATGATGAACTCATACACACACCAAATGTCATACATATCATGTTCATACATTCATACTAATCACTTATGAAGTGCAAGCCCAACTGTCAGGTGAGTGTGAAGTGAAAATGCAGTTTTTTGCAAGTGAGATAGTGAATTCATGAAACAGGTCCAACTAAGGTGAACAAACCATACTAACATCTTCAAAACAACATTTAGAATGTGTCCATGCTTTAAAACCATCCACAAACACTAGGGAAATAAAATTCACATGTCATTTGCTCATTCAACACAAAGAGTTACAAA